GGATAGTGCAGCGGTAAATACTCAGAGCGTACGTACAGCTGATTCAAACCAGAAAGACCGTTGGTGGACGTGGTAAATATATTCATATCGTACGGCTGATTCAACCCAGAAAGACCGTTGGTGGACGTGGTAAATATATTCATATCGTACGGCTGATTCGAACCAGAAAGACCGTTGGATGGAAAGATAAGTGAACACTATTTAGTATCCATTTAGAAACAAACATATATCAATTCAATTAGAAATCTACGAATAACTGAAACAATCACACATATTTTTAAAACCCAATCCGTCTGTCCTGGCGCCCTTGAATTAACCAAAAAATATGACAATTCATTTGTTAATTCAGTCAACAAAAATGGCAGGTATGACGTCATGTACTAAAGAAGAATGGTAATGAGTAAAGAAATATTTTCTGTTCTTTTTTTTTCCTTTTCTTTTTCTCTTCGTTTGTTTGTCTGTTTGTTTTTTATTTGTCTGTTTGTTTGTTTTTTGATCGTTTGTCTGTCTGTTGTTTGTATTTTTGTTTGTTTGTTTGTGAGTTAGTCTGTCTGGTTTTTTTTTGTTTTTGTTTTTTTGTTTTTTTGTTTTTGTTTTTGTTTTTTTGCTTGTTTGTGGGGTGGCTGGGTGGTTGTTTTATTTATTTTTGTATTTGACAGCAAACTATTGACCTTCAAAGTCATTAAGGTTTAACATTTCTGCTTTACCTGTGCGACGCCACTGCCCTCTAAATAATTAGTTTTAATAAGAATACTTCCACCACTACCACCACCAGAGGCTGGTCCACCATTACCACCATTGACACGAATAGTTCCTTCGATATCCATAGTATTTGAAATGTTGAGAAAAAATATTCCACCACCTCTACCCCCTGAGGCAGAGCCACCACTACTCCCTAACGAATAAATAAAGCAATCATAAAGGTCAATTAAAGTAATTATATTCGTACTTTTCGTTCTAGCACTTCGCACTAATTGGGAAAACGTTTTTGTGCACACAAACTACCACTACATTCATTATTCTATGCACACAACATTCAACTCATACATGGTTATTTTTACCAAAGAAACCGGAAGAGACCGGAGTAACCGGAGAAAACCCTCGTTATATGGGAGAGAACAACACATCAAACAAACTCAATCGAATACTTCGACGATATGGCAGCCATCATCAACATGGGGGCAAAACAAAACAAAGAAGACAGAAAATATATAGTTTCGTGTGCTTGTCTTTCTTTTATGGGTAAAGATGTGTCGTCTTAATTTAACATTTGTTGTATTCTCTTGTAGTGAGCAGTTAATATCAATCGACGTCATTACTGTAAGAAAGATGTATTTGCCCCCCTGGACGCCCCATGATGCCTTGCGATCCAAGATGGCCGACGTATCATCGAAGTAGTTCATTGACATATGGTGCTCGCAGGGCTCGAGGCAGCGTAGCGTACCCCAGCAATGCACCCATAAACGCTAACCATCCATAATGATTAGTTTTACTTGCTCTTTGTAAATTAATCATCGTTATGTTCAGTATCTTAACAGTTATTGTTTATAATGCTGTAAATTTCTTTGCGTCCTCTAAGAAAGCCCCACAATGCACTGCAATGCCAACTACACCCAGCTTTATCCTCGACTTAGGAATGGTTAATATCAAGCACCCAACCAAAGTGCTATAAAAGGGAAACTTACCGAAATCTAGTGGGTTAGTGAATGAGCCATAAGATGCTCCTGTGTACGGAGAGCTTGCAGCGCGTCCTCCTCGTCCACCATGTCCACCACCACCTCCACCGCTTGTCCCTGATGCGGGAGAATCAGGTCCCGTACCTTTACCTAAAAAAGTCTATACGTTAGCTAAAAAAAATAGAACTATTGGAACAGACATTTTAGGCTTGGGACTACCTATTTCAAATCATGTGTCATTCTGTTGACAATAATAGCTTAGCACAAAGGTTTCCGGACGAGGCTACTTGCTAAATCAAATATATTCTTTTCTCCTGACACGAATCACTGAGCATTATGCACAAAGCGTCACACTGAAACCTTTGTGCGTGCCAAGCGAAGCATATTTCGGAAGTGGGCTATTTTTTTGAGTTTTCATGAAACTTCTCATGCGAAACCGTTAACCAAAGAAATGGTATTCTAGGGAATGAAATGGCTATTTGATGGGAAACCATTATGCCCAGGCCGAAAAGTTCTATTGCGTCACGGTAGTGAAAAGCCTGGTTTAGTTCTTCGATTAATTAGTGCAGGAAACAGTATTCATGATGATTCATTAAGGTCAAAATTACAATGGACCACGCAAGATAACACTGATACTGCGATGCCTTTAACAAACCTTTGTAGACGAAGTTCTGTCCAGTCAATGACGCTTCAACCACAGCCAATGCGTCAACCGTCATGTTTTGCGCATGTACATGAAGATTGACCGCTGATAACTTTCCTCCTCCAAACACATGGATATTTTCGCCGCGGAATTCTCGTACTCTTTCCTGGTTAGTGACAGTCATTATGCCTTGGTTTCTAATCCTTATGGACTGGAAGTGAAAGATCTGAAAAACATTTTCAACAAAATAAATAAAAAATAAATAAAAATAACCTAATGCTCGGTCTCCAGGGATAACGGATCCAAAAGCTCCAAAAGCGCTTCGACGCCGCATCAGAGAGCGAGAAATCAGAAAAAATATGTGCAATAGCAGCAACCTCATGTCCTTAGTAGATAACAATATCCTTTATTACGTGAAGACACAACATTAAAAATATACAACAATAAAAAGTCTCAAGGGCAATATTTTTGTCACATTGTGACAAATGTGTCTTAATGTTAAACCCTAAGTATGTTGGGACTATCAATTTACCCTTGTAGGGACACCATTAGTATTGTACATCTCTCGCATATGTATTGCTCCTCCATCGACTACTGTGATGTTCTGACACCTTCGTAATACACCATCAACCTCGACTGTTACGCCAGCAACACGTAGTTCTCCCTGCATGGTGGTCAAACCTCCTTGGTATATGACCATGTCCATGGGTAGATGGGACTGTAGTGACAGGAATGTCTGGTTAAAACCAAGATGGATCCTACCACTGCGATCACCCTCCATTTTACCTTGTTAATCAAGAAAAGTTATTTTAAAAGGGAAATATTTTCATGCAATAACCATCCAGCCTCTGAGTGCCAAAACATACCTGCTAAATGAAACCTGCGTATATTACTAAAAAATCTTATTCAAAAATCTTACTTTTTCCCTTCTTTTTATATTTTCTCTCTGTCTGTCTCGAGTTTCTTTCCTTCCTTTCTTATTTATACAACATACAGTCGCTTCTTCATTTTCAATATTATAATTCAATAATTCATAATTCAATATTTGTTTCTTCCAATCTCTTTGCCAGACAGCATGCTTAACCCGCTTAGTTAGTCTCTCCRGCAAGCTAGCTACTTAGTTAGAAGGGTAGACAAACAGTTTCCGGCACACAGCAGTCATAATTGCAAATAATTTCCAGATATAATTACATACCTATCACAACGTATATGGCATTCCTTGTTGCTTTGGGCTTAATAAATGCTACCTGGGCACCTCCGTATAAATGAATTTCATCCAATTCAACATCACTTTCATTAGAATCCTGTGCACTGTCTTCAAGAGTGAGCCATACACGAGCCGAGCCATGAAGAGAAAAGTCACTGTAAGCCATGCTCAAATTAGCTGATGGAAGGCGAGGTTTTCTGTCTAAGGCGTTAATATACAGGGTCCTGAAAAGACAGAAAAAAAGGGTCAAAAAGCCGGAATATTTTACTAAGGCTGAATGGGGTGTACCCCAAGGATAAGTATTAGGTCCTTGTTATATTGGTATATGGCAGGTTTGAGTTTTCATTACGTTACACAGGAGTGGCGGGTGAGACATCAGTTCAAGTGTTTCATATCTTAAAATAGATTTTATTGTAATAAACATTACCACCCTAGGTAGTATTTGTATTGAATTACCTGTTTTGGATCCACTTTGTGCCATTGATCGGCTCATTTTCTAACTGTTTTATTCTGTCGCCATGAGCTGCCTCATCCATTCGATCATGACCGTACGTTGCGTTGTCGCCTGGAACATGATCCAAGAAAATTGTTCCAGGACCGCCAACTTCAAAATGACCACCTCCACCTACTGCAACATACTTCCCAAGGAAATGGTTTTCCCTGTAATATACAGCAATTCGCCCAGCTGCACCTCCTCCGCCATAGTAAGAAGTCACATGATTACCATCGCCTCCTGATACGTCGACGTCACCATCCCCATGGATACGAGATGCATAAATTAAAACACTTCCGCCACTTCCACCCCCGCTACGCGTGTATAAGCCTGAAGACCCGCGGGATGAAATTGTGCCGTCGATGTTTAAGGTATCGTGCGCTATTATTTTTAGTCTTCCTCCTCCTTGTCCACCAATGAAAGGGAAGACGCCGGAACCTCCATTACTACCCAAAAGCGTGGGAATTTTGTAGTTTCCGTATGGAACACCAACCCGAGGCTGGTTAGATCCTTGGCCTCCAGTCCCCCCGTGACCGCCACCTGATGACCCATAACGATGGGCATGGCCGTTGCCATAGCTCCCCTCTTGTATACCAAGGCCATCTCCTGATAGGACCGCAAATGGTTCAACTGTAATATTCTTGTAGTCTATTGTAAGACTGCTGGCCTCAATCTAAGTTGAAAAAAAAGGTTTTGGTCTTCATTAGGCGGGAAAAAAATTGATGCACGTTGGTAGGTGGACAGCCAAGTACGGGAACAGGAACAAACGAATAAATTAACTGAAAAGCTCAACTTAATACCCAAGCATTGTCAATGTCGTATTTTTAACATTTCGATAAAAAAGAGACAGAAAACCTAATCAACCCCGAAAAACTAAATAAATTTATAAAATTGTAATTTGAAATTATTTACTCACAAAAAGAATCCAAGGCAAGTTACCTTTCCTCCTCCACGAATGTCAAGGGTTTCCCCTAACATCGTTACATGCTTTTGATCGTTCCTTTCAACAGCTAGATACCCAGATGTCTGTACGACCACTTGGCCTAGATTGAACTCCGTCTCCGTCGAGTCTTTAATAACAAATCGACAGCTTGGTCCGACAGTTAAATTTTGCATTCGTTCCATTGTGCCTTTCATGATGACTTCAATATCACGGCATGTCATTAAACGGGGAAGACCAACACTGGAATTTTTCTGGCTAAGGAAGGAGAAAGGCAGATGTTGTTCTTCACCTTTGAAGTATACGCGCTGTGTCTGGCGAACTGTCATTAGACCGAATGAGTCCCCTGTTATCTTGGAAGCTTGAACTGAAAGGTCTCTACCACTGAGACCTAAACTTGCGCCCCCACCAATAAGAAGCTAAGACATGAGTAAAGTTAATAATTAATAATTTAAAACTTCATAGTATAATCTCGTCATATTCAATCCCTCCTATTTTCTATAAGCTTTCATGTACCCAATAGTGTGAGTACAACACAACTGTCATGTTGGAGCTATGCCATGCTATCAAAACAAAATACAAGTTTATCATCCAACATGTCTGCGGCCATGTCTTTCGTTGTATCATCCATGTGGTGTGATTTTTATTTTTATTATTATTCTCTTAACTGTAACTAGGGTCAAAGGCAAAATGCCAATTGCTGCCAGACATTCCTTTGAAAATGTCAGCAGAAATGAGAAAAACGCAGCGAAAGGCGATTTATGGAAAACGCTACTAAAAAGCAACCCTACCTTATGCCTATCATTCTGTTAAGGGATTTTTTTATAATCATGGATGGTGGATGCAATACATAGATAGAATATATATTAAAACAAACCTCATCAAACACGAAGTTCGTGGTACTTTCGTCTTTCCCGACTATCCATGTTGTTGCTGGAGCCGTGCAGTAGGGATTTTGTTCTACTGATGTTGGGTCCTCAGCAATAAAAAGCCTCACCAAGGACAGAGATGAATAGGTCGAGCTTGCATGCTTTTGAAGGCTAATTGTTACCTTAAAAACAAAAAAGAATTAATTTAGTTAATTAACATATAACTAGATTCCAACACACTTCGTAGAACAAAATTCCCTGATTTTTCCCTGACCAAATCCTACTTTTCACTGACTTAAAGAAACACAAGTTTAGAACAATTTCTACTGGTACATCATGATTCCATAAGGTTACTCTCTTCTGAACTTCCACAAAATGCTTAAAACGTCGTTTTCAAATTTAAAATCCCTGAGATTTTTCTTTGACCTTTGACAAAAGCTTTTTTAAGAGTCTAACTCTGGCAAAAGCTTTTCTAAGGCTTTAGGGTATGTTGAAGCCTGCTAGGGTAAGAATAGATACTATATACTTCTTGACTGAGTGGCAAGGCCAGACGGGAAAATATTTAGCTCGTGGTCATGCCGTACGGACCGAGCACAGCTCGCCCCGTTCAAATTTCCAAGAGACAAATATTTTCCCGTCCGGCACGCCATAACTCAGTCAAGAAGTATTTTGTCACATGAACCAATTTTTCAAAAAAAAAAAAAAAAAACAGCCTTAAAAATTCTGCCAAAATTGATCATAAATATAGCGCGCGAGCAGGATGGTACGACTCATATGATAACTTGCATTTTTATATTGCTCTCATTCCCCATAATGAGAAATTGCACTAAAAAAAGGAATAGGAGAAATTTAAAAATTTCGTCTCATAGAGCCCCATTTTTTCTTTTGAATTTTAAAGTTGAATGTTGATAGCGATTTTACAATTCCTATATACCTTATCTACTGTACGCTGGACGTTCATTCTTTCTGGTTGGCCTTGTAGGCAGTCAGATGTGTCAACCCAGGCTCGTGATTGCTCCACGACTTGGTTTTGAAGGAAAACACGAATAAAATGATCTGTCATGTAATTGGCCTCACAAGTTGGGTAAATAAGCAAGTGATCCAAAAAGAGAGGTGCAGGGAACTGATAGGTAATAACAGGAGAGCGAACTAAGCTTTTGTAGTAGCTACTGGTGCTGGTGAGGAGGTATCCAAGATTACGTAAATCATAATACAATTTTTTGTTTATCAGAACGTCAGGTGGTGTGTCTGAAGTCGATAAAGTTACTCCTGAGGGTGACTGATAGGTTGGCACAGTTGTAGGATACAAGCTATTTCCTGCTAGAATGAGCTCTCTTGTCTTTTCCACCGACAGTCTTCCAGTTTTTGATATTCCATTATTGATTTGAAGAGTTCGATAAGGATTAGAAAGATTCGCCCGGTCTTCTATATACACCGTACCACAACCACCCTTTTCAGCCGAGCTGGAACCACCGTAAGCCTGGTAAGATCCAATGTAGGTACTGTTCCCTGTATAGTACACAGCAATTCTACCACCACCACCGCCACTACTACTTCCTTCTCCATCGCCTCCGTTCACCTCAAGTGACCCCTCTCCGTCCAAGTCAAGCGTGCGCACGATAATGCTACCTCCTGCACCACCTCCGCCACTTGCGCGTTCTCCATTTGAATGGACACGCCCCTCTAATCTAAACATCTCGGTAACATCAAGGATAAGCGTTCCTCCTCCACTGCCACCATTTCCTCCTCCGCTTCCATATGTCTCAGGATAATAGATGGTGCCATATGCCTTTGATGACAGCAAAATTTTATCTGCTCTACCACCACGTCCTCCGTGACTACCACCCCCGGACCCACCGTTGTACGGCGTGTATGGAATACCCGCTCCAGGACCTTGTGCGGGACCCCATCCTCTGGCGTCAGCCGATATTTCACCTATGAATCGAAATTATAGTTTATAAGATATAGATTTAAGAGTTAATTAATTATTTAATGGATGGATGGATGGATGGATGGATGGATGGATGGATGGATGGGATGGGATGGGATGGGATGGCATGGGATGGCATGGGATGGCATGGGATGGCATGGGATGGGATGGGATGGGATGGATGGATGGATGGATGGATGGATGAGTAAATAGGATAACAAACCTGCAACATCGACAGTGATGTTCACTGCTTCAATCCTCAGGTCATTAGCAGTTAACATTCCACCACCGTTCACCACTAATCTTGTTACATTTATAGTAACACGTGTTAAATTTCCAGGTGGAAGGCCAGTGGATATTAGTTCACCACGGGATCGTATGGATATGTTAATGAACCGGAAGTGACCTGTCTCTTCGTGTACAGATTTCYCGCCAGACCAAAGGTAAAGTTTACCGTTACGATCAATCGTGTAGTCATCAGCATGAGAAAGAGTACCATTTACCTCCATGTAAACATCCCTAGAGGAAAGTCGTTAATACAGAAACATCACTGAAATTGAAAAATGTTCAATTCCGACTTTCAAAAGTGTTACTTTTCTTTCAAATACCGTATTTCTTCTATTACGTCCCCGGGGCTTATTCTTTTATTTCAGTGCTTTTGGGCTGGGGGCTTACTACAAGGGGGCTTATAATATTAGAGGCTGTGGGCTAAATAAATTTTCCCGATCTTTGGAAATTCGTCATAGCTTCTGCCTCACAAAGCACCAGCAGGTAATTTTCGTCGATCAAAAAAAAAATACAATCAACATCAGGCCTCTGTTGTATTCCTAAAAATTTTGCTTTCTTATTTGTATTAACAGCCTCATTAAATTACAATTCTTTGCTTGCGCATATGTTTACGTTACCAATCTGGCTATCAACATGGCGAGGCACATGCAAAACTTGAAACAGGGACTTTAGGTGCTATTGTTGCATCTCCTTGGAATTGATGTTTGCACAGTTCCTAAATACTTATGAATAAATAAACTAAACTGAACTTACCTAAGTGACAAGCGCCTGGGGACCTGTAGACTTCCATCGTAGTAAACAAGTGTGTTTATTGGATAATAGATGTCTACATCATCAAATGCAACGTATTGATACCTCCCTATATGAAGCACACCACTACGATCGCCAACTAGAGTCCTTGCCTTCAAGTGGACTTGATCTCGAGTTGCTCTGCCATAGATTGCCACGTGGGCGTTACCATGGAGATGGAACTCGTCAAGTGTGTAAGACGTCGACTCATGGAGCCATGTCACACCGCCAACCTTACTAAAATAGAATTATGTAAAAAACCTCTTACTTTGTATAATTCCTTAAAATAACGAACCGTATTGCCGCCCCTTTTTATCATCGTTTTCAAATTAAGGAGACAATAATCCGTTTTAAATATGCTTTCTTGATGCAGCACAATATGCCATTAGCGGGACAAAATCACATAACTGTTACTGGATGGCAAAGAAAATAAAACTTTTGCTGGATTACTAATGTCAGCACGTGACTGCTCCTTGCAAATGGCCTAATGTGAATAAAATGTACATAAGTATGCATGGGATTAAGCTGTTTTAACCCAGATCCACGCGTTTACGCCCAAGATACAATCAAAACACACATGCAATTATCAATAGATCCGGTTTGTGACTAGCTAGAATATTAAATACCTTATATCGTGATAGATTCCTTTCAACAGATGTCGTAGTTTTCCTTGTCTATCGACAGCAAGTGGATAAGCCAACTTATAGTTATTTATCTTCAACACTCGGTATTCGATATTAGTGGAGTTTCTTCTCTCCAGATAAATAGTTCCAGAAGCTCCCGCTTCAATATTACTGTCTCCACCTTTAGCTGATAAAGTGCCGTTAAAGTTGATCATGTAGGTGTGGAATATGGCTATCCGTCCTCCTGAGCCGCCGCCGCCATTAGGCGAGCCCTTGCCACCATTTGCAGAGATTCTGAAAAATACGAATAGAAAGCCTATTCATAAATTGTTCACAGGGAATAGGGCTAAACCTGATGAAAGAATCGCACCCGCTTTTGAACCAAACAGTTGGAAGGTATTAAATATATTACTACACGGGACCAGAAAATGTGTATTAAAAGCCAGAGAAGTCGTTTCAAGAGGGACGAACTAAAGGGGATCGGATGAAATGTTCCGTCATAACAATGAAAGTGTCCATGACAGCAGGGTTTCTACTAAGCGCGGTTTGAATATAAGACAAGAAATCTGCGCAATCACGGCTGCTAAATAGCGCCTTAATATGCATCACGAAAAGTCCTCCACTGGTCATAAATGTAAAGCGCATTGAGACGTTGTTTAAATGCGCTATATAATCTATAGAACCTCTCATCATTATCATTATCATTAATCGCATCTCTATTTCCTTACTTTCCATATCCGCTTAGATCGTGGCAGTTAACCCACAAGCTGCCACCGCTTCCACCACCAGCAGTACTCCGAGATGCGCCATCTTCGGCATCTGCTGACAGCTGTCCATCAAGAACAAAATGACGGCTTTCTATCTTGAGAGCTCCTCCTCCTCGTCCACCAAGTCCGCCACGAGTGATGGTGTTTCGACCTGAGCTGGTCGTGCTGCTGCGATAATCACCGTAGTATAAGGTTCCTTTAAAGAAAAGTGATAGTCAAAAACACGATATCACATCACAATGTTTTCTCTTGATTTGTGAAATATTTTTGTATTTCAAACTTTGAATAAAATGGACATTAAAAAAAAAAGTTAAAAATGGAGCTATTGATATGCTAACCCACGACCCGGTAGCATTGTGGTGTACGGGTTAACCAAGTGCGTATAGGTTTCCGAACACACGAGTGGATTATTCGAGGATTTTGGTTCACTTAGAAAAAAACGAAGTGAATTCGCTGGGATGCTTTCCAATTTTTGTCATATTTAAAACGATGCTTCATTATCGCTTCATTTAGTATAATATATGCCAGACACAACTACTAGCCGAATGAATTTGCATACCGAAATTTAGATTTGAATAGAATCCCCCTGACAATTCCCGTACAACACGATATTACCCACGACCCCCTCGTCATGAGCCAATTACACCTATATAGCATTTTACACATTTCCACAAGGGTATTTAAAATGTCAAAATGTGAAAAAAGTGGGATTGGCATAATAAATTTCTTGAAGTTTAATCACTTGGTCATTTCAAATTTGATYATGGAATCAATTTTCATGTGTACTAGGATTTCTCTTTTTCGCTATCAGAAGTCAACCTACCATAATGATTCCCATATCCACCAACACTACCATACTCCCATGGCTGGATTAACGACCCATAGAATGCACCAGCACGGTTTGATAAAGAACCTCTTCCGCCATTCCCAGCATGCCCTGCGCCACTAGCTCCTCTAATGTTACCAGTCCCTTGACCGGGACCCTCTGATGGTTCAGACTCGCTACCAGTCCGTCCCTGTTTGGTTTGATACCCAGCGTGGTTATGACTTAATTTGCCCCCTGAGTAGATGGCTAGCAAATGATATGCAGTGATGTTCAGTCGGTTGTTAGATTTGAAATGACCGCCACCGTAGATCTAAAAATGCAAAATTGACAAAAGTGTCAGTTCTAGTGTCTTGACATGTCTGGGACTGTCACTAATGAATAACTTTCACCAATGAATTTTTGATCTCCGTCTTTTGCGCTGCCCCCATATACACACTGTATTAATTTGTCTCCTATAAGTAGATGCATTCATACATTCCTTACCGTCAGATTTGTGGTACTAAGTCGACTGTTCAGGTTTTTATTTGTGGAAAACAGCTCAAACGTCCCCTCGTTCTGTACATGCAGAGTTGATAACTCGTACTCGCCTGCAGATGTATTCTGACCAAGACTAGAGTTCGAATCCGAATAAAACGACCCTCCATCGTACACGAAAAGATCCTGGATGCCCGAGATCTTAAAACATGCAAAGAAAAAAGGGTGTGCTTCAATTAGACACCATGAATTGTATAACATAGCCATCTATGATGTAGGACACGTAACAAGTACCCCTACTCACCCCCCCCCTCCCCCCACCACCCCCTTCACCTTCCGAGTTCTTCCCGCTCATTTACACCTAACCATTTTCTAGATAAGCTTGTTTTGAGAAGAATATTGATTTAAAAAGTTTTAAAAATAAAGCCCATAGTTAGATCGAGTGGTTTGGTCGATAAAAACCTTAAACTAAATAAGCTATGAGCTTTTGAATAACAACAATTGAATGAGTTCATTATAACGAGGTCATTGCAAAACGCCATCATCGAGCCAAGAAAATGAAAAAGAGGACAATAAATGATTGAGTATCTAAGACAGGTTTTATGCAAACCTTACCTTTCCTGACGATCTAACGTTGACCTGTTGCAAGAAGGCTCGTTTTGGCATTTCTATGCTTCCATTTTCGTAAACACGAAGACCGAATGGAATATCAGGATCAGTGACTTTAATTTCGAAATCTTGGTTGTATCCAACATGCAGGAATCCACTTTTATCACCATAAACCCGATCAGCTTTGAATGTGACTCCAGAAGTCAAGGATGTTCTAGGCTTAATGGCCAGCTGTGCTGAACCATGAATGTGGACCTCGTTGAAGGTGTACTTGTTGGTACCTGATGCTGGTTCAATCCAAGTTTTGGCACCATCGAACTGACGATACTGGTACCTATGGAAAACCAAAATACATAATAAAAATATATAAATATTAAAACATATAAATGTTTTACTAAAGGCTATATTTTTTGATGTTTTGACATTTTTGTTTCTATATTCGGTATTAATTTTCCTAATGTTGTTGCTGTCATCGTTTTTTAAACTGGCTCTTTGAAGATGTTCTCGTGTTACTGTTGTTATTGAAACTTTTTTAAGTGTTGCAATAGTTCCCTCTGCAGCCAACTTTTAGGGGTTCAAGTAACTCTTAAGGAAATGAAAAACAAGAGTGAAAATGGTAAGGAAGATGCACACCTCGTCTCTAGTTTCTCTCATTAAGTAAAAATCCAAAGTCCGGCCCGCCAATTTCGGGTTATTTCTCTAGCTCCAACTGAGTTGCACGAAGAGTGGATAGCACTTTAAGTTGGATAAATTCTTCTTCTTCAGTGGATAAATTTATTGGGTATATAACCGCATCACTTTATCCACTGAATAGTAATTTATACAACGGATAGCGCTATCCACTCTTTGTGCAACCTACCCAGCGAGCAGCGGTGATTCTTATTTCCTCCGTTGGGCTCATAGGGTGGCTCGAAGGACAAAAGACCTCTACAAGCAGGAGAAATAATACCTTCCCTGTCCAATAGAAATGGGAAGTCGCCTACCTGTCTGATACACCGCTTCCTTTCACGAAGATTTCGATTTCAGACATTGCGACATGAAGCTGATTAATGGCGTGACTGAGGGTAAAAGTGATGGTTTTGGCATTTCTAAGAACTGGTAGTTCTACAAAGGAGCCTTGTTTACATCCATTGCTCATCGTCACAACACCATTTGTGACTGAAAGAGATCCTTGCCCATCGTTTGTTGTAACCTTAAAAACATATACATGAAAAAAAGATTGTTATGTTATTTCGCGTCGTGGTTTCCTACTGTACGCTTCTTTAGTGCTCTGACTCAGCATCCCGCGTGTTTAGACCAGAGTATCAAACACGAAAAACTGTTTTATATTTTTCTCTAAAGACTATCACTATATCACTATCACTTTATCGCTATCATTATCGCTATTTATATCTAAGTTATACACCTATTTCAAAAAACGTTGTAAGTCGAAAAAATAAAATCTGAGATCTCAATCTTTAAAGCCCATCAAAGTAGTTTCATTTTAGATTGGAATATGAAGGATGACCTTTGAGTAAGAAATGTGATTTCTCGTATTTCAGTCAGAAAACATAAAAGTACAAAAACTCCTTTTCGTCTGAGATTGCCCGTTTCAGATCTCCGACCGACGTTTTTTTAAATAGGTGTATACTGAGTGCTGGTCGTATTACTTGTCTTACATGTAAGTTAACCTCACCTGGAAATTTGAAGGATAGTTGCATGATGGATAAACACGAATGTGGTTGATAAACATCAAACTTTTCAAGTCAAACACCAGGTTGGTAGATGAACATTTTGAGACGAATGCATCACATCGATCAGAAGAATAAGTTTGTTGAAACAGGTGCCCAAGCGAAAACGCTGGACAAAGATTACACACATGATGGGCCCTAGCACAGTCAGCTATTGCGCAATTTGTCGTGACAGTCACGCCATTTAGTGACGTGTAACTCTGTGAGCGGCCGACTCTCCCTCCAGATAATTCCAACCTCTCGCCTTCATTTGGTATTACATCTGAAAGAGATTTCTGCCCATTGTTGTTGACTTTTAAGATAGAATGACCTGTCTCAGTGTGTTTGAGGAACACAGTACCAGATGCCCCAGCTTCTGCACCTGATATCCCTCTGCCTCCATAGACATCAAAGGTACCCCTGTAGGGATGATGGGTGTATTTATTACTATAGTACGCAGCTACCCGACCGCCCGAGCCTCCACCAGAACCTGCGTTTCCTGTCCCTCCTAATGCTTGGATAGCACCAGTGTGACTACCAGAGAGAGCATGCGTGAAGATGAGGATACTACCACCACTTCCACCTCCGTTGCTTGACGTGACGTCATGACTGTTAGCAATCACTTGTCCATCGACCTGTTGAAGATTTTCACACTGCTTAGCAAACTAAGATAACAAAATGGCACGTTTACAGCTCATCGACATGCTTTAAATCCATCAACAAAATTATTCTCTTAAAAATTGTTTGTAAAACCATTACACTGCTTTAAATAACTCAACATGCTGCCATACTAAACAAACTTCTCTAACTAACCTGGAGAGTATCAGTTACATTTATCCTTAGTTTTCCTCCACCCTTTCCACCACTTGGTCCATCTCCACCACTACCAAATTCCTGTGGGTAGAAAAGATTCCCATACGGCAAACCTTTGCGCAAGCGGCAGGTATCTGGACTGTCACAGGTTCCTCTCCCTCCTGTCCCACCATGACCAGCACCGTTATTTTTCCACTTAAAAGTACTGACATTTCCAGGACCTTGTAAAGCTAAATATCCACCATCGCTGGCATCAATGAAGCCTCCATCATCAACGGTTAGATTAACAGCATAGATATCCATGTTAAATGTGTTTATTTTAGAGCCGCCTTCAACAAGAAGAATCTTCGAGTCCAAAGAAAACGGCTTAGGATGTGCATTGGGACTGTGAGTCTCAATTTTAGAATCAGCCATGATGCGGACAGTTTCGTTAAAAGCAAAACGACGCCTCGGCTCGACAGCCGTGGATCCTGTTTGGTAACAATGAAGAATTCCGCCATTCAATATCGTAAGATTCGTGATGTGGTCAAGCTTTCCTTCCACGTGCACTGCTATCTTGTTCATTTCTGATATTGGAGCAAGACCCAAATATCCTCCCTCGTAAATGTAAGCACTGAAGGGTATGTCCAGGAAATGTCTTTTAAGGTCTATTTTTTGATTCCGTCCAATGTGAATATACCCAGTACGATCACCAATCATGTACTTAAAGAACATCGACACTTTTCTATTAACTGGGTTAGTTTCGACTGCAAGATGCGCTCCTCCGTAAACTTGAAGTTCTTCAAAATGAAAAGCATGGGATTTGTTAGCGAAATCATGAAGGCCTGATTCAGGTAGAATCCAAGCGCGTCCTCCATCTTGCGCCAAGTCCGAATAGTCTGATATGCGGGTTTTGATAGGATGTTGTCCTCCGTTATCGATCAATAAAGTTCTGTGTGTGTGGACCATGTGATAAAGGAAGGATGTACCAGGTCCTCCAGCTTCAGTATTAATACCACTACCTTTTGCCCCTCCACGAGAGTGGAATTTCCCGATGAATGTTGTGTTTTTCGTAAAGTAGACCGCGATCCGACCTCCAGCACCTCCACCAGCATGCGTTCCTCCTCCACCACCATTAACAGTAATGTTTCCTCTTCCTTTGATAATGTAACTATGCATCCAGATACTTCCTCCACTTCCACCTCCACTGTAAGCATCCATTCCGTTGGCACCATCTGCGCTAACCTGTCCATCTATTTGGATAATATTTGTTACATTGAACCAGATAACTCCTCCACCGGAGCCAGCTTTGATTCCTCCTCCACTACTACCAAATCGCACTGGCTCGTATAAATCGCCATAAGCTTTACCTACGACTTGAGCATCAGCGCCTCGCCCTCCTCGACCACCWTGACCACCTCCTGACGAACCACTACTTGACGTTTGGCCGATTCCCACATTGACAATCCCATGGAGTCCCATGTTTGATGTTGGATGAGAATTGTTGTAGCCCACCCCGTTAGCATTCAATAAACCACCGTCATCGATGGTGATATTTTCGGCCAAAACTAAAAACCGGGTTGCCCATATAACACCACCTCCTTCAATGAACAGTGACCTGACTTTGAACACAGTACCATGGTGTTCGACCGGAGATGTCAGTGCTCGCATTAAAGCCTTGTCTTGCACTCTCACACTTTCAAAACTAAAGGTGTTATTAGGATTCCCTGCTGTTCTTCCTCCATCATTGATCCAAAATGTCCCTCCGTGATGAAGGGTCATATTCATAATGTATGCCACAGTCCCTGTGACGTAGATCGTGACACCATGTACCACAGTCACGGGTGCTAAACCTAAGAATCCTTTGTCGTAAACATGGACGCTGAATGGAAGATCTATCTCAGGTCTTTGTAGATCCATGGTTTGATTCGTAGAGACGTGTAAAGTTCCAGTTCGATCACCGATCATGTAGTTGAAAAATAAGGTTGCATTTTTACCCACTGGTTCAGTCAGGACGGCTAGATGTCCTCCACCGTAAATTTGAAGCTCTTCAAAGTGGAAGTCGCCTTGCCCTTTTGCAAAGTGATGAGTCGCAGACTGAGGCAGGAGCCAAGCGCGACATCCATCACGTGACAAGTCATTAAAATCATTTATGGCAGACACGAGTGGTTTTTGACCTCCATTATGTATCAGTAAAGTTCGGTGGGTATGAATCATGTGATATAAAAATACGGTACCAGGTCCACCGGCTTCTGCCTTGCATAGATGTTCCTTACCAAACTCGCAACCAAAAGCAGAACCTCCTCGTGCCTCGTAGATGAAATATGTCGACGTTTTATTTTCTTGGAAGTAGATAGCGATTCTTCCACCTGCACCTCCTCCGCCGGAATACGATCCTGACATCGAACCGTTTCCTCCATTGGCAGTTATTTTTCCGTAACCTTTTATTGTCTTACAGTACATCCATATGCTTCCTCCGCTACCACCACCAGCTTGATTACTGCCTGCCTCGCCATGGGATGTCACAAGTCCATCGATATCAATAACATTTGTGACGTTCATCCAAAGCATTCCTCCGCCATTGCCTCCACGACCATTGCCTGTTCCCCCTGCACTTCCAAACATGGCAGGTTCATAAAGGTCTCCATACGCAAACCCAACCAATGGTGATCCACCAGATAATGATCCCCTGCCTCCACTTCCACCATGACCTGCACCAGAGCCGCCATAATCAGAGTCTTTACCATGACCAGGATTAACCTTCCCGAAAAGACCGTAACCTTGATAACCATGAGAAGTGTTGTATCCAAGACCATCAGCAATTAATGAACCTCCATCGTCAATTGTTATATTCTCCGTAACAAAAGTCAGGCGTGTAGCGCGTATTAACCCGCCTCCTTCGATAAACACGGCGCGGGTGTAGAAGGAAATACCTGGATCAATGATTGGCGATGTTACACCGTGTATTACCGCTGTATCTTGAACACGGACCGTTTCAAATTCGTACTTGTGGATAGGAGCCAAGTAAGTTCTTCCACCATGCAGCAACCACAACTGCCCTCTGTGATGCAAAGTAATATTCTTTATATAAGCCAAGACTCCCCGTATAATGATCTCGACACCATGAATGGTGGTCACAGGTGCAAGCCCTAAGTGTCCACCACTATAGATGTATGCACTAAAAGGCAAGTCTATTTCAGGTCGAAACAGGTCCATAACTTGTCTGTTCCCAATGTGCACCATACCTGATCGATCACCTATCATATACTTAAAGAAGATGGAGGTATTTCTTGTGTCGTTAGATTCTCTGGGCCATACAGCTAAATGTGCCTTGCCATATATATTTAATTCTTCAAAATGAAACTTGTGTATGTTATCGGCAAACCTGTGAATTCCCGACTCCGGCATTATCCATGCTTTTCCTCCCTCTTCGTGGATCTTGGTGTAATTGATATGTCTATTTAAAGCCTTACGACCGTCATTATCAATCATTAAGGTTCTGTGGTTGTGAAAAAGGTGGTACAGAAATACGGTGCCTGGTCCTCCGCTTTCAACGTCTTCTAATCCGTCTTTAGGTTTTCCACCGTGGGTTTGGTAGCTAAAACAAGATAATAAAATGGGAGTGTATGTGTTTATACTTTTCTAAAGGATGCGCAACGTTAAAAATGGCCAATTGGATAAAAATGGGATGAAAATTGGACGAAAATTGGATGAAAATTGGAAGAAAATTGGAAGCAAATTTGATTAAATTGGACGAAAAGTGGATGAAATTGGAGAAATTATAAATGTATAATCAGCCTACATTACCTGAAAGACGAAAAGGTTTTGTTGTCGTAGAAATAAACAGCAATCCTGCCCCCTGCACCTCCCCCGCCGTACTGTGGATCTGCTGGGGCTCCTCCATTTGCTCTGATGCTACCATATCCTTTTAGAATTTTCGTGAAAATCCAAATGCTGCCGCCGCTTCCACCACCCCCAAGGGATGCAGTATTGCCATTGGCTGACAGTACACCATCGATTTCCAGCAGAAAAGTTACGTTTAAGAAAAGGCGACCTCCTCCAGATCCTGAAAGAAGAGGTAAGATTTCCCTGATGTTTAACATTTTTTCAACAGATTTTAACAGTAATTAAGTTAATGATAAGATCGAGCTTAACGAGCTGATTCTGGGGAGAAATGAGCTTGATTCTGGAAAAATTGATCTGTATATTCTTAGATTAAACATATTACCGCTCCATAAGACTAACAGGAAATCAAGTGTTTGGTGGAGAGTAGAGAGAATAAGCAAACTTAGTTTCAGACTCGATATTCCAGGAAGTCTTGCTTTCAGAATATATAGTCATAAATACTGGTAAAATGAAAATGGACTTGATGATCTTTAAAAATAACAACCCTTAAGTAGGGCAAATATCTGCTTTGAAATTAAATAATTACCTGCTTTCCCTATTTGGCCGCCTCCACTGCTGCCAAATTCCGTCGGTTCATACAAATTCCCATAAGGAAGGCCAACAGTTATCATATTTTTTCCTCGTCCTCCCGTCCCACCATGTCCTCCACCAGAAGCTCCAGTATCAGTACCTTTACCAAACCCTTTATTCGTCTGCCCATGGATCCCCATGGAAGAACCATGGCCATAATTGTAACCGTTACCATCTAGGGTAAATATCCCTTCAGTATTGATACTTATATTCTGAGCCAAAACTCTTAAGTCACTGCCCTCAACTCTTCCTCCACCTTCTACTTCAAGTACTATGACAGTAAGGTTCATGCCAGGGTGAGTCGCAGGGTCTGATAGCATTTGGATGGCTCCTCCATATTGTACGTCAATGAAGTCAAACTTGAAATCGTTCTCTGCATGCTCGTTTCCGGTGCGGGAGTTCTCTTTCAAAGACAGAAGACCTCCATGGTGTAGAGTAAGGTTATTCACAAAGGACATAACTCCTGCTAAGTGAATGGATACTCCATGAACCTGTTAAATACAAAAATTCATAACTTGTAACCATTGTCAAGACAACCTGGAGGATGTGAGCAATTCAACCCCCCCCCCCCCTTGACATCTACTGCGATATTAGTATTTGAGTTTGTGAACTTCCTGGTCATAGTGCACCCCCTCCTACATTGCAATCGCCACTTATTTCTTAGACAAAGGGCAGATTCTTTCCTTCATAATACACCTCATCTGAATCTCATTTAAACTAATTTGAAGGACAAGGAAAAACACAGCAATAATTAGAGAGAAGCGAAAGACGTAATATTTTTTAATCATCGCCGATATTCTGCTGTTTCTGTTTTTATTATTATTTTGGATCCCAACATCAGCTTTGGTTATCACAGTACGCAATTCTCCATTTTGGTACATTTACAACACAGCTAAAGTAGGTAAAATTACTATTAAAACTTCTAAGAATATGAAATCGTATGGGCTGCACTTATAAGCAAAGGTACTCACAGTCGTAACAGGTGCAAGGCCAATGTATCCTCCCCGATATACATGTACATTGAACGGCAAATCGATGGTCTCTCGAGTTAAGTCCATAGTCTGATTATAACCAATATGAACAGTTCCGCTACGATCACCGATCATATTACTGAAGAATATCGAAGCAGAGCGATTATGTGGTTCAGTAAGAATGGCCAGATGAGCCCCGCCATATAGCTGAAGCTCTTCAAATTTGTAGTTCTGATCACCAGCCAGTTTGTGTTCACCAGAGGAGGGTAGGATCCACGCCCGTCCTGGAATGAGGGATACATCTGCATAGCTTTGAATCACCTTGAGAAATAAAATTTACCACAATTCAGATAAGCATGAATACTTTCAACACCAAATTGTTTTTGTCACTATAGCAGCTTCAGGGCAGGCATGTTGCCTCACAACATAGCTTAGTTAAAATCCCTCAATCTTAAAACGAGAAGGAAGTGTTATTTTTTCTATCGACTTTTACCACAGGAAGCCCGGAAAGTGGCTGTCTTACTCACCGCAGCAATTATTCGTTATTATTTTTAAGCGTTTAAACTCTAAAATCGTTATCAACCTACTTGTTTATCTGATGGCAAAAATCTTCTTCCAGCATTGCTTATTAATAGTGTGCGGTGTTTATGGATGAGATGATATAAAAAGATAGTTCCAGGTCCTCCGCTTAACGCACTGCCCGTACCATTACCGCCAAGAGACTGGAAAGAGCCGCTAAATGTGAGGTTACTTGTGAAGTAGACCGCTACACGACCTCCTGCTCCGCCACCACCATTACGTCCATGGCTAGAAAAAAAAGAAATTTTCACATAAATATTTGAGGTGAAATTATCTACAGTTTCTCAACCACATATTTAGTTACTAAAAATTATAACAAAAACGCAACAGACCACCATATGTTTGAATACCCAAGTGTGCATAACCAATTCACAAAATAAAGGGAATTCAGATCTCACGTCCACTTGAACCATTTTTGTTTTGCTTAATAATTGCATCGTGGCTAGTGCTGCGGCATTTTTAAGGCAGCAGGCTTCTTTAAACATCATGATTTCAAAAACAACTTTTTTTTTTCCTTCTTCCTCCCACATTGATTGATATAAAGTAAGTTTTCAGGATTTTTTAAACTTTTATTCTTTTATCTTAAGGTCATTCATTGGTATTGGAGTAAGTTCTACTTTCGTAAAGCGTCTTAGAGCCTTCGATACAGGGCGCTATAGAAACAATAAATTACTATTTATTATAGCAAAGATAAAATGTTTAGAAATGTTAGATAACTAACTCAATCGGTCTAGCTAAGACCTCAGGGGGTTGATTAAATAAAAAAAAGTAAAATGAAGCAACATTTATTGAACTATTCTTTGAAGACAAGCCGCTCAATCACATCAAGTATATTAACCTACTTCACAATTTGTCAATACAAACGTGACTGTGAGCGCTAAACTTCCTCTCCGTAATTTAACATTAGAAGCCATTATTCTCACCCATCCGTAATGTATACTGGAAATATCGGAATTCTTTCAAATCGTTCATTATTGATGAATGTTTCCTAGCAACGCGATTCTGATAACGTTATCAATCAAGATGATATACAGTTTCGAAACATCTAGATCCTCACCAGATTGATTGACCTGGATCAGTAAACAAGAAATTGAATATTTCAAATTGATGTTTCTGGCAATTAAAAGGTAAATAACTTGAGAAACGCGAATAACATGTCATGACCATGCTGAACTTAGTCGAGACCTGTCTGCCATCTTTTGCATCGACTCTCGAATAATTCCAAATTAAATTCACGAAACCTGTTTCAGTATTTTTCTTTTTTTGGTGCAATCATACATTCTTCGTTACCTGTAYCTTGTAATATAAAGCATGGTTAGTGTTGGAAAATAACTGGAGTTCTCGAATTTTTTTCCTGAAAAATAAATCGAACTTCCTTCGCGGAAATACTGACCACACTAATTACGTCTACAAGTTTCAATAAAAAATTGTAAATACTGACGAAGTTTCCTGTCGAACTCTTAGTCTTCTTTAAAAAGAATGAATATTTTTAGCTTTCAGATAAATGACCTTTTGAGAGGTTATTTAGTCTTATCGGACGTGTACAGCCTTAGGAAGAGCACGTTTTGGTGATATCAATCGTACATGAAGATTGCATATTATTAAGTGATGATTATAATGATTCCTTGCGTCTAGTTATTATATTAGTAAGAGAGCAAGACAATGTCAAAATATATGGCAGAAAGAGAGTCAAGAAAACGCTAGGGAGTAAAAAGTGTTTTGTATTTTATTATCGTTTGTTCATTAATATCGTTTACAAGAAATAAAGATGATAGAAAATGTATAAATGGAGCAACCTTCTTTTCTGTTAATAAATCGGGATCAAGAGAAGATATAAATATATATTATTAAGATTTTAAATCAAATAATATCATCCTTCAGTTATTATGGATGCCCTTATTGCCTGGTTTTCGTATTGTGCTTATCCATATTTTCATTGCCATGGCAGAAAAGTGCTGCACTTCACAAAAAAAACCTTTCGCTGGAACATCGGAAAAATAACCATTAAAATGTAGTTAGTTGAAGCTCCATTGAAATGTTCATGATTTTCATAGGAAAATAGGGAGTAATGAGAAAGGACAGATAGAAGATGCCAGAACATGCAAAAGTGATTAAAAAAACAGAATCTCTACAGATGAAATTACCACTGATTTTAGAACTAATTATCAACTTAAAGCCAGCCAAGACCATTATCAGTGAACTGTCTGGTATCCATTGTCTGGTATCAAGAGCCCAATTGATGCGCACGCAACATTGGTTTCAATATCACTCTAGACTGAAAATTTTAGCGGCCAGAAAAATTCTACAGAAAGTTCAACCACTAAAACATGAAACATAAATAGTAAACAAGTGTAATCCTTTTATTTTTATTTTCTTATTTGTCCTTTTATTATTTTTGAATTTTATTTTTTCCTTATTTTAATTAATTTTGCTTTTTTCTCGTTTTTTGAAGTTGTTTTTTCTTATCTGTTCTCTCGATAAAGTGATAAAAAAAAGTCTAACTATGACTGAACTGAAAAGTTAAATTGAAAAGAATATTGAACGAGTGCTAATTTTCAGCAACCACAATGAAAAATGAAAACATGTCATTTCGATTTTTAATACAATATACAGAAATTGAAATATATATATATATAGTCTTTCCATTAACGATGAATTAATAAAACAGTAAATAAACATAAACGTCTGCTGATAGTGGTCTTTGCAAGCCAACAGACAATCCATATAAAATATCTAATTTTCAGTGACTTTCACTTGTACCCTTGCGTTACATGAAATAATGGCAGTACTGAGATTGTTTTTTGGGTCGTTTTGGCGCCAAAACGTACCACAGTYATGTACAAAATTAAAGCAATACGAATTCAAATAAAAAACGAACTCTAGAATAATGATTAGAATAACATAATTTTTGATTTACATAAAAGCACAACGTAAATAGTCACAATTTAATAAAAATCTAATTCTATACTTTTAGATTCGATTGATATCATTTCGAATCGTGTCACGACTCGAAGTACATATATATATATATATATATATATACAACCATTTCAATATAATATGTATAAATTATTCAGAAGTCCATATCTTCTGCTTACACGTTCGGTCACGTCCCTTATCAATGTTATCTTGTTTGATTTCCTTCGGTCGCAAAAAGTCTCAATTTTATATTAGTTTCAGAAGTCAACTTTCAGTTTTGCAATCTTCCTTAGAAAATGTTCTTTTACGTCTATAATGGCGTCCTTCATTGTGCCAGCGAGCTCTACTTGTGTTCATGGCTCTATCAAGGTGTACACTAGCCAAATCTCTCTTGGTCGTGGATGTTTCTTCGCTTATGTTAAGTTCGTCTGGGGACGTCTCCTGAATTGCTTCGCAACCTTCAGCGGCCTTGGCTTGTGTGCTCCCAAGTTCTGAGTTTTCAAAATCTTCTGGTTTAAGGTAGCATTGAGTACTAACTTTTCGTCGTAAACCTTTTTCATACATGCTTTCCCAAACGGCGCTTAAATCGTTCTTCTCTTCAGACAGCTTCCTTTGTGAAACGGCTCCCAAATCTCTCACTACAGCTTTACCAAGTTCTTTCATTGAGACAGGCTTATCGAGTAGAGACATTTTCAAGTGCTTATCAATAAATACTGACCGGGACCAAAATTCTACCAAATCTCTTACAAAGTACTGTATTCTTCGCGATATAYCCGCTTTCGAGCTGATGCAGCCCTCTTGACACAGAGATTAATCAATGAAAAGATAGTGTTGCAAGACAAAGCACAGGGCTATCCGCTAACGACGGATAAAAGAAAAGCTAAAAAGTGTTCTTGGCTTCGAAGCTGAGAATAGTTTAGCGCCACCTTTCGAACTGAGGTGCAATATAATAGTGATGTTATAATTCAAATTTAGAACCGCTGTTCTAAAGTAACGTGGAGCATCAATTGTCCGGGTTCAGCAGGAGGCAGACAGTTGGACACCAAAGTTGACATCATCATCAACAATAGCTTTCAAAATAACAACAAAACAATACGTGCTTCTCTTCCTAATTTCTGCTGAGATTTTGAAATGCTTTTTGAGACATTTATATCACAAGCATTGAATGAAGGTTGTAATTAAAACTCAAAATATTACATAGAAGAAATTTCATGCGACATGACGGCCAATAAACATCAATGTCACCTCACCATCAGGGTTTGGGTTCGCTCTAAGGTTCCAGTCACGTACGTTTTAGAATAACGTAGGACGGTCCTGGCCGAAAAATAAACAAAGACGACCAAAGACGCAAAGAACCTACGTTTTATTTTATAGAAAATACTCGCGAAGCAGAATGATTTAAATTCGTTCAAAATCGAAGACAATATTAAACAGTAACCGACAGTAGCACAGGGATAGATCTTCAAGTCGAAAATAAATTCGTCAAGAAAAAAAATATACAGGAATGAATATTGTCGCCATGAAGTCCATAAGTCGTTGCTGTGAACGTTTGCAAATGAATTCATTTTGGATGAATCTGCTCGCCGTCAAGAAAAGAACAGAGTGCTTTATTTTAGACCAGCCAAATGAACTCTTTCCTTTTTTAATAACATAGAAAAAGGGTTTTAGACTGCTTTAAGCCACTTTAATCATAGCGGTGAAACAAAAGATAGGGCTTTGTAAAAACCATCATTATAATTGCTGGAACGATTGAAATTTATATTAATATGTAAAACCATTGAAAGCAAGGAAACGAATACAGAACTAATATCTGAAGTCAAGATTTACGCACTCCACAATGGGTAACCTTTAGGATCTGTGTAGTCATATTCAATTTCTTTGTATTTATTGAACAAAACTATTATTTTCAGTGAACAAGCTTGGCATTGACCATTAAAAAAAGTAAACATATCATACAATTACTGCAATTTTGATAAACATGCAAACTCTGTGTCTGCGAGCTGCAGCCTAAAAATTTTTTTTTTTTTTTGATGCCGTCAATCAAACCTAAACAGTCGGTACCTTTAACATTTTTGACTGGCGGAAGCGAAAAACCAAATTTCAGCGTGTAACTCAGAGACACAGAGTTTGCATGTAAATCAAAATTGCAGTAACACAGGTAGCTCAAATGGCAAGTTCTCGTAAGCACTTGAAATATCAAACCAACAACGTAAAAACCTTTTTTTTTTAGATTTGCGGTCTGATTAAAAAGAGACAAAAAGGAATAAATAAACGTCATTACTTCTCTAGTGGTTTTGGTCCAGAATTGAAGGTCATCGATCATTTACAAACCCTAACAAAAATGTATAGAATGCAAACAATATATCCGCGAAATATTAGTAATACCAACTTACACTATTTTATACTAATCCTATTGTTTTCTTTTGTTTAACTAGCACTATTTAGAACGAGTTACTAATTAGTGTCACACGGATATATTGTTCGCACTCTACTGAAATTCTGAAATGCTTTACATTTGTGGCAGAAATTTGTTAAAAATTTATCAAACGCACTGTTACAGTGGTTAAGAGTGAGAGAAAAAATAATAAATAGTCAGTCAATTAGATCATTGTCTTTTTTTCTTCTGTGGAACGTGGGGAAAATCATGGCCCGGCACTTTACTGATGTGGTCCTATTTTTATCGTTCTCGTGGTGGGTTTTTTATGATCACGTATTTGCTCCCAGCCCGCACCCTCCCCCTCACCTTCCCACGCACATCTTTCCTGGATTAACAGTATGAACGCATCTAAATCAACTACACTAAACTCGTTTCCGTTTAATGTCAACTTATCATACGTTCGAAACCTAATTATTTAGTGAAAGTAGTAATCACGTGACATAACCTTGATTTAGTGGCCTGGGCAATACAATATCTTTAGTGATAAATCCAAATATTTCAAGGGAAAACTCATGGCTCTAACAAGTAAGTTTCGAATTTTGTTATTGAAACTCTAAAAAAACCTGTGCTGATCAAAGTCAGGGCATGGCTAACTTGCAGATGGAATTGGAATTCAGCTTGTTAGTTTTTGCAAAGGAACGAGAAAACCGCGGGGAGAAAGGGTGAAAAGCGAGTGTATTACCGCCACGCCACCCCTGATTTCCTTGATTCAGTTAAAGCATAAGTTGCATGTCAACAAAGCTTAACCATACTTACTTGATATCAACGAAGCCATGGCCTCCATTAACTTGCACATCACCGTATCCACGAATAACATTAGTTGTGATAAATATGCTTCCTCCACTACCTCCCCCTGCGTGAAGCGATTTGGCATCTTCGCCATTGGCACTCAAGGTACCGTCGATCTTTAGGGTACCCCTGACGGTGATATTTATGACACCACCACCCAATCCACCTCCAGGGCCACCACCAAGGCATCCAAAGTGCGCAGGCTCGTACAAGTGACCATAAGCAATGCCAACACGAGGCTGATTGGTCCCACTTCCGCCATTACCACCATGCCCACCACCTGACGAACCCACTCCTGTTAGCCCTTTACTAAGGGTGCACCTTATAACGAAAGAAAAGCATATTAGTTACTCAGGTCTTGTCTTTAATCCCTTTGATATAACAAACTCTGGAAAGTTTTTCCAAAATAGTATACAACAGTTATCTATAACAAAACTGTACGTCATTCTTTCGGTTTGTTTGTTTGTTTGTTTGTTTGTTTGTTTG